ACACACACACACACACACACACACAGACACACACACACACACACACACACACACACACACACACACACACACACACACACACACACACACACACACACACACACACACACACACACACACACACACACACACACACACACACACACACACACACACACACACACACACACACACACACACACACACACACACACACACACACACACACACACACACACACACACACACACACACATGGGTTAATTACTAGTATCATCTAGACCTACGACCTACAGTAGACCACACACGATATATTTCCTTGTTTCATTTCTCACCCGTTAATTAATTTGTTCCTCCTGTTGACGTCATCTTAGGTATGGTTTAGTCACCCCTCCCCCCACTCTGGTCGTGGTAATCCTCTCAACACCGCCACCTTCTTTCCCCCCTGTGGTCGTGGTAATCCTCTCAACACCGCCACCTTCCTCCCTCATTCTGTCCACTAATGTCATTTTTATTATCCTCTTTACGTATTGGCGTGAAATGGAAGAGGAAGGAGGAGGAGAAATAGGAAGAGAGGGTAGAAGAGAGGAGAGGAGAGGGAGAAGGGGTGAAAGGTGTAGAAAGAGTTATAGAAGGGGGAGACAGGTAAGACGGGTGAAGGGAGGTAGAACTAGGTAGAGAGAGAGAGAGAGAGAGAGACACAGGGAGGAAGTAGTGTTGTAGTCTCCTGTTACTACTGCATATCACTCCACCAGGTCATCAGAGAAGCCTCCTACACCACCGTCAGGATATTCACACACTCCTTCAGGATATTCACACACCACCTTCAGCATATTCACACACCACCTTCAGGATATTCACACACCCCTTCAGGATATTCACACTCCTTCAGGATATTCACACACTCCTTCAGGATATTCACACACCCCTTCAGGATATTCACACCACCTTCAGGATATTCACACACCCCTTCAGGATATTCACACACCCTTTCAGGATATCCACACACCACCTTCAGGATATCCACGCACCACCTTCAGGATATTCACACCCTTGAGGATATCCACACCCCTTCAGGATATCCACACACACCTTCAGGATATTCACACACCACCCTCAGGATATTCACACACCCCTTCAGGATATTCACACACTCCTTCAGGATATTCACACACTCCTTCAGGATATTCACACACCTTCAGGATATTCACACACCACCTTCAGGATATTCACACACCCCTTCAGGATATTCACCCTCCTTCAGGATATTCACCCTTCAGGATATCCACACACCCTTCAGGATATCCACACACCTCTAGCTACTGTATAGTCTTGTGGCCATTTCGACGCCATCTTGTATCGTAGGTTGAGGATGTACGTTTGTTCTTACATATTACGACCTGAAGAACATCCACTCTCTGGCCACCTCGTCCCTACACCACTAGAGTAGGCGTGGCCCTCTTTCCCTCCAATAGAGGCTGGCGTAAGCTTACTCTCACCCCCCTACCTACAGTACATAACCTACCTACCTACCTACCTACCTACGGACGCAGTGATAGTGTAGAAGGAAGCCGCAGCACCCCTGAGAAAAACTCTCTCTCTCTCTCTCTCTCTCTCTCTCTCTCTCTTACACACAGCAGCGGGCCATTTAAGATGAGAAAGAAAGGGGAAAAAGGAGAGGTGGGTGGAGGAGGAGAGGAGAGGGAGGTGAGAGTGAGAGGGGAAGGAGGAGAGAAGAGGAGGAGGTGAGAGGGGAAGGAGAGGCGGCAGATGCTGTGATGATCGCTACTATAAACACACTGACTGAGGGGGAGCAGAGTGGAGCGTACACACCTCCCTCTGGTCATCACCCCTCACTTACTCCTCCTCTCTCACTCTCACACACTCACCAAGAACCCTTACTCCCCCTCACTCACTTTCACACACGCACTCCCTCTATCGTCAAAACCTCTCACTCCCCCTCAATTATTCTCTCGTTCTTGAGGAGGGGAAGTGAGAGAGGGACAGAAGGAGAGGTGAGGGTAACTTATAAGACGTTGTATTGGACATACGGGAACTATTGACCGTAGCTCCGAACGACTCTCTCTTCCCTCCTTCCTTCCTCTCTCCTTACCTCCCTCCTTTCTCTCTCCTTCCCTCCATCTCCTCTTTCCCTTCGTCTCCCTCCTCCCCCCTCTCCTTCCCCCTCCCCTATCCCTACATCTGGAGGAGCAGGAGGACTCATCCCCTCTTCTCCCCTCTCCCCCACCTGTAAGTGAGACATCATATCCCTTCCTTTCTACTATTAAATAATGATGATATCTCCCCTTCTTTTCCCCTCGTCCCCTCTTCCTCATCAACAAAGAAGAGGAAGGACAGGAGGAGAAACGGACTGTAGGCAGTGCCGGGAGGAGGAGGAGGAGAAGTAGAAGAAGGAAGATAGAGAAAGGAGGAGGAGGAATAAACGGAGAGGTGTAGTCAGTATTGATCCCAAGGTTAGGTCATACCAGGTCAAGAAGGAAGGGGAGAGAATGAAAGTGAGGGAGAGGAGATGTAGCGGGTGGTCAGGTCAGGTCAGGAGATAAGAGAAGAGGCAGAAAAATGAAGAGAGATTTATTCAGCACAGGTCTCTAGGTTAGGTCAAGAGGAGGAGGGAAGGAGATGGGAAGAGAGGAGAGAATGAGAGACGGGATAAGGTGAGAGAGAAGAGGCAATTGGTCCCTGCAGGGGTGTGTGTGTGTGTGTGAGAGAGAAGGGGCAGGTTATGTGCTCTATGTCAGGGGGCAACACGCGACACAATCACATAACCTCCAGTATAAACCTTCCTACACGACACAAGGTCCTACTGTGTGTGTGGGGGGGGCTTATACTGCTCTTAAACACTAAAACACAATGTCCTTTACCAGAATTTCGACCTTGTGAATGAATACTCTTAACTTGCCTTGGAATTTGGGTACAGATGTTGGGGTTGGATTAGATTAAGCAAGCGTTAGATTGGGTTAAGCTAGCGTTAGATTAGATTAAGCTAGCGTTAGATTGGGTTAAGCTAGCGTTAGATTGGATTAAGCTAGCGTTAGATTGGGCTAGGTTAAGTTAGTGTGGTAATCATAAGGTGAAATAAGCTGAGGTGAGCTAATCTTCGGGTGATGCAAAACTTTTATACGGTGCCGTTAATATTTCCGCTTGTTCACGTGTGTGTGTGTGTGTGTGTGTGTGTGTGTGTGTGTGTGTGTGTGTCTTGTGTGTGTGTGTGACCCTCCCTAAGAAATGTCGGTCGATATGGTTGAGAGATTTAAAAGTAAGGAGAAACTGCCGCGTCACCGTGACTCAGCTTATTATTGTTGTACAGGTTGACTCGGTAATATAGATATACACTGTCTTGAATATTTTCCTGGTGATCGCGTGAATACTGGTGTTAGAATAGCTCCATTGTCCGCTCTAGTTGATGTGTGAGATTATCCACAAGTGAGGTTTGGTTAAGTTAGGTTACCGCTAGGATGGTTAATCTTAAGGTGAAATACAGTAAGCTAGGAGGACTAATCTTCAGGTGACTCCGAAATATCGATCATGTAGTCAAGTGTTCACCAGTTTACCTTCACAAAGCTTGCCGGGATCTTAACTACTATTGATCACAGCCAGAGGAAGACAATAGCGTGATAACTCCTTGAGACGCAATTAAATTCTAATGACTCTGACCTCACTTTCAAGGTTATAGTGGGTCTTGCTACAGAAGGGGGGCTGGGGAGGAGCTGGGTGGCACAATAACATTTATTATTAATATTTTTAACCAGTACAGTATTTACATTTCTTTTTTTTTAGATTAGATCAGAATCATCTTGTTTATTGTTTTCCTCGTGTTTTTTTTTGTGTTTTTTATTTGATTGTATTTGTGTTTTTGTGTTTGTATGGCGCGAGCTGTGGATATACTGTATAATATTTATCTTGGTTGGTAGTCTTGTAAAAGTTCGTGACATGTAAGACGTATATTGTTGGAACCTGAATATATTGGCTGTTTAGTTTAGGTGTTGTGGTGATGTGGTGGTGGTGGTAGTAAATAGTGGAGGAAGTAGAGACTGAGTAAAGGGAAGAGGAGGGAACTGTGTGTGTGTGTGGGGGGGGAGTAGTGGCGTGCGAGATTAGAGAGAAGAGGAGGGGGGACATATTCCTCGTGTGACTGCATCAGTTTGGGTAGTGTTGGGTCAGGCAGGGGGAGAGAGATGCTCATAGGAGAGGTAGGGGAGGGAGGTAGCGAGAGGTAGGGGAGGGAGGTGGCGAGAGGTAGGGAGGGAGGTAACGAGAGGTAGGGGAGGGAGGTAGGAGAGGTAGGGGAGGGAGACCTAGTAGAGGGAGGGAAGGTAATGTAGGGTGAGGGGAAATGAGAGCAGGTAAATAACAGGTATCGTTAACCCTAAACAGTGGCATAATTAGTGAGGGGGGAAGGGAATGTGTCTATTGGTTAATCTCCTCGACCTGCCCCTTCCTCCTCCTTCCCCCTCCCTCTCCCTTACTAGTGGGGGGGAAGGGGTGTGTCCTGATCTCCTTTCCATTCCCTTACCAGAGAGGGGAAACATTACATTAGACCTGCTCGTTCACTTTCCCTCTCCTCTTCACCCCTTCCTTCCTACAGTCACCTGCCTAACTATCTAATCATGCGGCGACCATTGGGTATTTGAAGACCTGACGAGAGAGAGAGAGAGAGAGAGAGAGAGAGAGAGAGAGAGGGTGGCTGGCAAGGTTTTCCCCCTATACAACACCCAAGGGACTTACCTACCCTACTCTACCAGGTATATTCTCTCTCTCTCTCTCTCAAATACATACAGTACACGACTTTTCCTTCATACTAATTGAAATAAAGATAAAAACTTTAACACCCATACGATATTTTCTTCCGCGAATAGACCAATCAAATGCCGTCGATCAGCCAGAGTGTTGTGTTGTATGGCAGTAAGGGAACCAGTTAATGTTTGGCTCATATGTTCTTTGATGTTTTGGTTGAGTGTAATTGTGTTTTTATTGACGGGTTTGTGTAGTGGAAGAGATAAAAGTTGATGAGGAGTAAAGATGACGAGTAAGACGAGAGGCCGCCCACGAAGGAGTGATAGTGAATGGTGGTAGTCTTTCTTGAGGAGCGGCTAACATCGTCGTCAGCTCTCCCCACCGTCAGCGCTCTCGTCAGTTGTGTCTCCGTGGAGCCCCCGAGAAGTCTATCAGTCCACATCACCGTCAGCATTATTGTCGTCAGCTCTCCATACCGTCAGCAATTTGGTGTAGTCGCCGCCGTCCTACCTTGGGTACACAACACCTGCCTCAACACACATCCGCTACTGTTTGTAAACATACCTGACGCCTGCTGGTGCTGTGTGTGTGGCGGCCAGGTGGTGCCTTGTGCTCAGTGACAGGTGGAGGGTCTTAACCTCAGCTGGCATATACCGGCTGGTGACGTGACATTATCCCGGGTGGTAGAGTGACGTCCTAGGAAAGGCTTTGACCCCCAGGTGACCCCCCCTCCCCTCACTGTTGACCTCCCTTGCCCCAAGAGGTGTTATGGACGAGGTGTGGGGTGTTGAAGATGCGTGAGGAGAGGTGAAGGAAGGAGACCTGCTGGTGGGGTGGAGAGGGAAGAGGGGGTGTTACTCGGCCTCATGTTTCTGGTGTGTTGCAGCCGACCGAAGCGCTACAGCTTCACTCCCAGCTACTCCTTCTGTCACCACTGGCCTCAGTGTACCAGGTGAGTTGACGGTCCTCTCCTACCTCGGGTCACCTCGAGATGAACCTTTCACCCCCGGGTTTATTTCACCTTGAGATTTACCACCCCAACGCTAACCTAACATTGACTTAACACTGCTCCTTAACCCCCTCTCATCTCCCGCTCAGCAGTATTACAACAGATCAGTGTCGGGCACATATGAAATCTGAACAATTCTCTCTCGCGCCATAAACCATCTCCCCCCAAACACCCACTACATCACAACATGGTCTCCCTCGTAGTCACATCACCACGGCCACAGTGCATTGCTAGACACAGCTGCCACCTACACTTTCCCTTCTAGTCACAGCAAGCGGCCACGACAAACACAGTGGTGGTGGTAGAAACAACAATAGCAATAAGAGGAGGTGTAGTTGTAGTAGTAGTCGCAGCAGGTGTAGCAGCTGTAGTAAGTAGTCTAGTAGTAATAATCTTAGCAGCAGCAATAATAGTAGTAGTCGCAACAGTAACAGCAGCATCAAGAGCAGCACCACACAGGGAGTTTGACAATCACAACAACCGCCGCCCCTCAGCCCCCAGCAGCGCCTTATGAACAGTAACATGACCTCCTCCTCCGTCGGTCGCCTGCTACTTCACTCACACTTTGTTTATTTTCACGTACACTGATATAGTTTATATCCTGAAGCGTTACAGTCTTATGTATTTTACCGAAATTACATGATACAGAAGTTGTGAATCCCGACAAGGTACAGTTTACAGACACTCACACGGACAGATATACGCAATACTTCCAGTTAACTTTTAAATAAATTAAAAGATACAAGACTTGCAAATATACTGTATTGTGTATGACTACTGTATTATGATGTTTTACGGGTACTGTTGTATTGTGTTGATAAGGTATTGTATCCCTAAACTAAGGTATTTTAATGTGAGATGTTTACATAATACTTCTTTTTATTATTGTAAAAGCATGTTTGTAGTGGTTTAAGTAGTGGGGGGGGAAAATGTTAGGGCGGGGCCAGTGTAATGTGTTGGTATGTTAATGGTGTATGTAACGTGCCCAACCTTGCCTCCACCACCACACACTACCACCTCCCACTTACTACCTCCCTCACTACTACCTCCCCTCCCTCACTACTACCTCCCACCTCCCACTCACTACTACCTCCCCTCCCTCACTACCTCCCCTCACTACCTCCCCACCTCCCACTCACTACTACCTCCCACCTCCCTCACTACCTCCCTCCCTACTACCTCCCCCCCTCCCCTCACTACTACCTCCCCCTCCCACTCACTACTACCTCCACACCTCACCCACATCCACCCATCCACACTTTCCCACCCGCCCGCCCACCCACCCACCACCCTCTCTGGTCTATATTTGCTTTGATGTGAAAATCCTCTGGTCGTTTAAATCTTGAATCACGGGAGAGGAGATGCCCTAATGGCTTGTGGGATCATGACGTACTGTATAAACATCTATCAATCCCTGCATTACCAACTAGTACCCAGTGCATAACGAATTGGTAAGGTAATACAATTGAGAATACAGATGAGGTCGGAGCAGATATTCTAGTATACTGTAGTTTCCTCATTGACTGTAGTGGAGAGGGGGGCTTAGCGCTTCATTTCTGGGTTACAAGGCGTAGACCAGCGGAGGAAGATTTGAAGGTTAACTTAAATATCTTGTGCTAACTATTATCACAGTCTCTCGCTGCTAATGGTGTACTTCTTTTTTCTCGAGTGTTATGTGATTGTTGTGTGAAGTGTTATAATTTATTAGGTGGTATTGTATTGTTTGTTTATGTGTGTATAATTGTATACAGAGTAGGGAGTATGTACTGTATATACAACTACGTGTTTATTCCTGAGCTATACATGTTGTTGACGGGGTGACAGGGCTCTCTCTCTTTTTCTCTCTGTTATCCCCTATCTCTCCCCTTCTATTCATCTCCAACCTCCCGTCCCGTACCCCTTCCACCTCCTGTTATCACCACCTTGACTCCCACCTTTTCCAAACGGCCTCAAACTCACCCACGTTTCACTATCATGAAATCTGAAGAAAAAAAAATTCACCTCCTGCTTCCTTCATTCTTCATTCACCTGTTCCTCCTCACCTTGATACCTCCCTCTTCCTCCGTGGTGTGACATGTGACTTGTTATCCTTGCCTCGGTGGTGAGATATGTGTGGGTGGGTGTTGTTGCGTCATATTTGTTGTGTCAGTCAGCTGATCCGGGAGTGTGTGGGGAGGGATTTTACTCACCTGACCTCCCTGTCTTGTTTTCTTCCCCAGTTGGACGAACGGTGCTGTACTGGGTGCTAGGAATCTCTGTCTATCTATTTATTTTTTATCTATCTACTGTATATGTCTATATCAGCACCTCTTCAGTTTGGGGCAAGGTGCTGTAATAACAAGTACAGTACATACATACCTGTACTTGGTTATAGTTATTGTGTGATTAGAATTTATATAATACTTTCTTTAATTACAGGTGAGGTTAGGGTAATATATCATAATTAATTATTAGTTTGTTGAAGGCTCGGGTGTGTAGTTGTGTTTGTGTGTTAATTAATGGTTTGTTTGTTTACAGGTAAGATCCGGTTGATGGAGGGAGACCAAGGAACCAGGTGAGTAGAGGTGTGTTGTGTAGTGTTCACACACACACACACACACACACACATCATCATCATCATCATCATCGTCTGGCTGAGGTTGTGCCACACGAGCGGAAAAATAGACGAGTAATTTCACGCGTCCGCAGCCAAGACTGTTAACTGGTGCAGGAGCCGTGTGTTGGTGTTAACACTGTGGGTCTTGGGGTGGGGCACAAGAAGGTGTCAGTAATTTCAAGTTAGCCCGACTACATACCGAGGCAGACAGGTGCCAACGCCGGAAAGACGCTGCTGCTGCTGCCCCTCCCGCATTAGATGTAGCCCTCCACGTGCAACATCTGTAAACGACCCTGCCAGTCCCGTATCGGCCTCTTTAGTCACCTCGGCTCACCAACGAAGGTGACATCCTTAATAACTGTTATCATTGTATCGTAGCTGGATGATCATCATACTCGATTTCGAGTGACAGCAAAGTAGTAGTAGTAAGAGTATGGGGGAGGTCAAGTTAGGGGAGGGCGGTTAGTAGTGCAGGTTAGGGTAAAGGGTAGGATAGGTTAGGTTAGGTTACGTTACGTTTATATCCCCAACATGAGGTGTTGTGGAGGGGTTAGTGTCGCGCCATCCTGGGCTGTCTGGTGCCGTAGACTCGTTCAGCTCTGTGCTGGCAGGTAAGTTACAGACACACCAACGTAGAAACTAGTATAGGGTCACCTGAAGATTAGCACCCCCTAGCTTATTTCACCTGAAGATTATTAACCGCTTTAGTGTTACCTGAGGACAAGGTTAGCTTAAGTTAGGGAAGGTTAGGATAGATATGTTAATGTTGGTAGGGCAAGTTAACATTGGGTAGGTTATAGGGGAGGTCTAGTTAGGTTAGGCCAGGTCAGGTTAACATTAGGGTGGTTAATCTTCAAGTGATAGGCTGGTCTCAGGTATTAGTACAGGTGGAGGGATAGACACAGGTACACCTCCCTGCAGTGGTCAGGAACAGGAGGCGAAAGCGACCATGAGTTAGCTGGTTGAGGTCATGCTTAATGCCTCACGCCTTGTTGTGGTGTGTGGGCGTGGTGTGGTGAGGTCGTAGGTGTGGTGTGGTCGTGTGTGTGTGTAATGTGGTCATTAGCAGTGTGGTCATGGGTGATGTGGTGTAGTAGTGATTCTCCCTCTCATTGTCTGTCTCCCTCCCCCCCCCATTTGTGTCTATCTCTCCACCCATCCATCTACCTACCTACGTACCTTCTTATTCATCAATCTATCTATCATACTCGTCTACCTGTCTCCTCGTGTTTTATAATCTTCACCGCCACACTCTTCCCGTCACTCAGTCATCACCGTCAGTTTACAATATATCCAGCGAGTAAGAGTGAGTCTGCGGATCCTGTTTTAATATTCTCAATAAATGAATTTCTCCACTTTCACTTGTGGCGTGGAGAGGGGGGGTGGGGTGATGTTTTTGTTGTGCGGGGTGATGTTTTTGTTGTGCGGGGTGATGTTTTGTGGTGTGGTGTGATGTTTTGTGGTGCGGTGTGATGTGTTGTGGTGTGGGGTGATGTTTTTGTGGTGTGGGGTGATGTTTTGTGGTGTGGGGTGATGTTTTGTGATGTGGGGTGAGGTTTTTGTGGTGTGGGGTGATGTTTTTGTGGTGCGGTGTGATGTTTTGTGGTGTGGGGTGATGTTTTGTGGTGTGAAGTGAGGTTTTGTAGTGTGGGGTGAGGTTTGTGGTGTGGGGTGATGTTTTTGTTGTGCGGTGATGTTTTGTGGTGTGGTGTGATGTTTTGTGGTGCGGTGTGATGTGTTGTGGTGTGGGGTGATGTTTTGTGGTGTGGGGTGATGTTTTGTGGTGTGGGGTGATGTTTTGTGATGTGGGGTGATGTTTTTGTGGTGTGGGTGATGTTTTGTGGTGCAGTGTGATGTTTTGTGGTGTGTGGGGTGATGTTTTGTGGTGTGAAGTGAGGTTTTTGTAGTGTGGGGTGAGGTTTTGTGGTGTGGGGTGATGTTTTTGTTGTGCAGGGGTGATGTTTTGTTGTGTGGTGTGATGTTTTGTGGTGCAGTGTGATGTTTTGTGGTGTGGGTGAGGTTTTGTGGTGTGGGGTGAGGTTTTTGTGGTGCGGTGTGATGTTTTGTGGTGTGGGGTGATGTTTTTTGTTGTGCAGGGTGATATTTTTGTGGTGTGGGGTGAGGTTTTGTGGTGTGGGGGGAAGGTTTTGTGGTGTGGGGTGATGTTTTGTGGTGTGGGGTGAGGTTTTGTGGTGGGGGTGATGTTTTGTGGTGTGGGGAGTGATGTTTTTGTTGTGCAGGGTTGATGTTTTTGTGGTGTGGGGTGAGGTTTTGTTGTGCAGGGTGAGGTTTTGTGGTGTGGGGTGATGTTTTGTGGTGCAGTGTGATGTTTTGTGGTGTGGGGTGA